TAATTTGAGTTCAATTAGAATTTTGTGACTCTGCAACTAAAACTCCTTTTCTGTAATTTTTATATTTTTGTTATTATTGATTTTTCCTAACCTTTGCATGCAAGGAAAACCCTCAACTGAATTTCCTTTTGATATACAGACTCAGGTTCAGAATCAGAACCCGAAACTATGGCTGAAAACCCACCACCAGAGAGACTTCTTGGGGATTACGGAGGAGAAAATGCTCCAGCAGGTCGGTTGACTATTATGAATCAACCAATCAATGTTGCAAATTTTCAACTGCATCCTTCAACCATCCGTTAGCTCAAGAACATATCCTTCAACCATCCGATGTTGCAGAAGTAGAGAAAAAGCTGAAAGCAATGAACATGGGTACTCAACAGGTGGCTCAGGTTCAACAGATACAGAAGGTTGCTTGTGAAATTTGTAGTGGACCGCACCTTACTATGTAATGTCTTGCAACTCCATAACAAATTGAGGGTATCAAATTCTTAAGGCAAAATAATTCATATTCTAACACCTATAATCCTAGATGGAAGAATCATCATAACTTCTCCTGGAAAGATCAACATCAACAAGCTCCTTAAAAGGCATAATGGGAGGTGGATATTAAAGAGATGGATGCCCACACCTCTCAATTTCAAGAAGAGACAAGGAGTAATCACAGGAATACCACAACTACAATAAAAAAATTGGAAGTTCAAATGGGACAAATTGCACAATAGGTAGCGTTGTGAGCACAAGAAAATCAGAAAAATCATAAGAATGTTAATATTGTCACAACAAGAAATGAGAAAGCTGCTAAAGAAAATAAAGATGAAGATAATATCATAGAAGTAGAGCTGAAAGTGAGAGAGAACAAAAAAAATAGGAAGAAATGATATCACCTGTGAATCCACTTGAAGAGAAAACTAAACCAGAAATCAAGTTGTTGTATCCATCTCAAGTTCCAAAGAAGGACACAAAAGAGAAAGAGTTTGATAAATTTGTCCAGTTGTTCAAAAAGCTAGAGATCAATATACCATTCTTTGAAGCACTCGAGAAAATGTCTTTGTATCAGAAATTCATGAAGGATGTATTATCAAAGAAGAGATCAATAGGAGAGGGATCTGTATCTTGTGATGAGAAATTGTGTGTAATTACACTCGAGGGGAAAATACATGTCAAGCAGAAGGATCTGTGGTCAGTTGCAACACCATGCACCATAAAAGACAGAACTTTCAAGAGGGTTCTGGTTGATTCTGGCTATAGTGTGAGTGCATTATAAATTTTCAAGAAGCTCGATATTGAGAAGATAAGTGGGAGTGGGACAAAATTGAAATTTGTTGATCACACCATCAAGCAGTCATATGGAATAACTGAAGATGTATTAGTAGAAATTAACAATTTTGTTTTCCCAGTTGATTTTTAGATCATGGACATACCTGAAGATGAAGAGACTCATATCATTTTTGGTCGACCATTTATTCTAACTAGTCGATGCAATTTTGATATCGAGACAGGTAATCTGACACTGAAATCTTTGATGAGGAGATAACTTTGAAGGTGTTGGAGATCAAAAAGCAGGGTGTAGGTGAAAAGAGTCAAGCTTCAGCTGGTATGATCAAATTAGCGAGAGATAACAAAAGTTTAAAATCACCCCTAGAGAAAGACTCCAGCATCATCTCTCATGTGTCATCAACAAAAATTTCTAAGTTTAGTTTAGAAGTCAAGAAGAGAAAGAAAAGGAAACTCAAAGGTGAGAAGACGAAAGTTGTAAGGGACTGAAAGCACAAAGTGGTCAATGATTTTGATCTAGATGAGCTTTGGGTTGCGGAAAGGAGAAGCAACAAGGTATGAAAGAGGAAGTACCCCCCATAAGGGGAAAAACCGTCGAGTCATGCGACGTTAAATGAAGCGCTTCATGGGACACAAACGACGCTTCTAATAACTTAGATTTTCTTTTTGATTTGTTTGCAGGTAATAAAAAAGGAGCCTTACTGGCGAGAGCTAGGAGGTAGCAACTGGTGTTACAACACCCTTTGTGAGTCACCTTTCTCGAGCTTGTTCTGAAATATTAGGGTCAATGTTTAGTTCAAGTTTGGGGATTTTTACTGCTTTACAATTTATTTTTCTTCTAGCTTTCGATTTATTTGGTATGTTAATTGTTGTGTCAATTCACGAGTTGAAGTCCTTCCCAAATTTTGCCAAAAAGTTTTGTTTTGTTCAAGAACTTGTTTCTCATAGAGTTTAAGAATAATATATATAGACAAAGGGATGGCTGTTCGAGGGTAGGAAGTTCGGAATAACGTGACAGTGATATGAGTCGAACGTGTAGATTTGTACCATAGTGCTTGAATCTTGAGAAGTACTCCTTGAGTAGTTTATCTTTACATCTGGCATAATATAGATTCACATGCAGAGATGATTGGTTGAGAAATAAATAAAGTTGACACCAAATGATGAAAATGAGGTAAAAGGAGTCTGACTCACTGAGTTGGGTATCCCTCACTAAGTTATTCATCCCAAAGGGGGTTGATCCCCAAACGTCGTCCATAAAAGATAATATGTAAACTGAAAAGTTTTGAAAATTTCATCTGAAATTAAAAAGGAGCAAAATCTCTTATTTGGTGCCTAAACAAAAAATTTCTTGATTAGTCTTGTGCGTGTAATGATCATCGAAAATTCAAATTGCCTTAATTTGACTATTCAAATGAAAAAGGAGGAAAATCGGAAAAAATACTTAAGTACAAAGCATAGTTAGAGAGGTGTCTGAAGAGGAAGCTCGAGATTTAAATGTTCTTACACAAATTCTTCGCGTTATATGAATATCAGACAAACAGTTTTTTTAAATCAATTTGAGTGGATATCTCACGTATGAGTACCAAGCTGCAATGATTTTCATGAGTTCTTGTAATGGTCGCTTGAGGTCAAGCAACACTTTAAGTTTGAGGGAGGTTGATCAGTGGTTTTTTCACCTTTTTTTACAAATGATTTTAGTTATAGTTTCTTTATTTTGTCAAGTGTTTTATTTCATTCTTCTATATTTTATGCGTTGGTTGTGTATTTTGTTGTTTTCAGGCTCATAGGAATAAAACCAAGAAAATCAGTGCGAAAAGTGAAAATTTGGAATTTTGGAGGAAGTCTAAAAAACCAAGCTATAGGGTGCCTGACACGGGCCGTGTCAGAAGAGGATGCACAACTGCAATTTGGGAGAAGAGGCAATGGTTGACACGGGTACCCGTATAATACTTCCTATAATATTGATATTGTGAGATCTAAGATGTGTTGTGTGAGATTATTTAGATAACCTTCACCATATTCCACCTTGAATAAAGAAATCATTATTGTGGGGTTCGACTTTAAAGACTTAGTTTGAAGAGTAGATCTAAGGTCATTATGAGGTTGATTTTTTTGTGAAGTTTTGCTATGTGTATCAAGAAAAAGAATCGCTTTTTATCTATGATATCTGATTTTGAACATTCAGCAAAAGAAGAGTTTATTTGTACACCATGTAAAAATTCGATGGGACTGAGTAAAGGTCGATGCAGAATAAAGTAGGGAGTTATCTAATCTTTCTTATATAGAACAAACATTAAGACATGGAATCGATAAGATTGAGTAAAGTTTGCTGCATCACGAAAGCTTGGAACATGATTTTTGTGTATATAAAGATTCTTGGATCAAGACTAATGAAGATATTAAAATATTATCAATTTGAGTATTTCCTTCAACAAAAGGGAAAGTCAATTTAAATTTGTGTTGACAAAAGAAGTTGGCTTGTAGTATTCAGACCGTTGATTATCCGTTGTAAAAAAAAATGTACATATTAAATTTGTAAAGAACGGAAGACCTTACAATTTTTTTTATATATTTATAAATTCTAATGATATATCTTAGTTTAGAGGACAAAAACAAAAACAATTTTTTTTATATATACTTATAAATTTTCGAGAGGTTATATTTGAAATGAAATTTTTTTTTTTAAAAGAATTGATGTAATGATACTGTAAATTTTTTTTATACTATCAAAAAATTATAACACCGACTGTAATTTTTAAAAAATTTATATAATATAATAGAATAATATATTTCTATTGAACAATAATATAAAACTTTTTTATACTATGTAATTTGTAAAAGCGGCCGATATAAAAGTGTAGAAATTTTTAATGGAGTAGAAAAACAAAAGTTGAAAATTTTATTGAAATGAAAAAAAAAACAATTTTCAAATAACTACTTCTATTATTTAATTTTTATTATATAAAATAAACTTTATTACGGAATAAAAATACCAGGGACAATTAGGACTTTTCATACCAAGTAGGGTTTATAAAGGTATAAATCATATTTCCTCACGTTTCCACACCAGCTACATCAGAAAACCTAGTGATTTCGGCTGCTTCATCGTCTCAAAGGTTACTCTTTTCCTTCTCTTAATCTATGCATCCATCCAACTCACAACGTTAATTCTCATTGTTTTGTTGATTTTTGTTTTTCTGTAGGAAGAAGGAAGAAGAGAAATCTCTTTGAAATCAAATAGCAATTATGTCTGGGTATGCCCTAATTTCCCTTAATCCTTTCCTTGGTGTTTTTGTGATTCAATATTTGCCAGATTCTACTTGTTTATACTTGTTAATGGTGAATTACGTATCTATGATAGTTTTAGTACAATGTTAGCAGCTTTTTGTTGTATTCTCGTTATGAACTAAATTTGATTACTTTTAAATGCGTTAAATATTCGTTTTTTAAAATAGTTAGATCTGATAAACATTTTTGAGTATCTGTGATGTGATTTGATCTCTATGCATCTCTGGGTTAGGTTTTGAGATTCTTTTATTAGTTGCTGATTATTTTATAGACTTTTTAATGTGGGGTGATTGGAAATTGTGTCTTTTGAATTACTTTTGAGAGATTCTTTGGTAATTTGCTTACTGTTATGAAACTTTTTGTTGTTCAGTGAAGAGCCCGTTGTTGCAGCCGAGCCTGTTGTTGCTGCACCCGGAATTCCAGGGGAGCCAATGGACATCATGACTGCTGTTCAGCTTGTGCTGAGAAAGTCGCGTGCTTATGGTGGTCTTGCAAGAGGTCTTCATGAGAGTGCTAAAGTGATTGAGAAGCATACTGCACAGCTTTGTGTCCTAGCTGAGGATTGTGACCAACCTGATTATGTTAAGTTGGTCAAGGCCCTTTGTGCCGAACACAATGTTAGTTTGTTGACTGTTCCAAATGCAAAGACCCTCGGAGAATGGGCTGGTGTAAGCGCCTCTGATTTGCTATCAAATTTGGATATTTTCATTTATTTATGCTTTCTGTGTTTTATCAGTTTTATTGTGTATTGATTTGTGTTTCTTCTTGTTGCAGCTGTGCAAGATTGATTCAGAAGGAAAAGCTAGGAAGGTAACTGGTTGCTCCTGCGTGGTTGTCAAGGTATGACTTGCACAGTTGAAATGGAAATGTTTGGAGTCTGTTATCATCTTCCAACATATGTATGCTTAACTGTTTTCATTTTGCAGGATTTCGGCGAGGAACACGAAGCATATAATGTTGTTTTGCAACATGTGAAATCTAACTGAGTTGCAGTTAGCCTAGATTTGTGGGTCTCAGATATGAAGTTTTTGTATAAGTACTAAGATTTTGGTTTTTATGGATTATTTGCGTAGTGATTTTGATGGTTTATACTTTGCCCAATTCTCATTTGTTGAGACCGAACTTGTTTGTGACCCTTTCTCTCTATTTATACTCTTGAGGCTGGAAACTTACTATCAGCTTGATGCAAACCTACTTGAACTTGCAGAAATGAAATTTTGATGTTTTTCATTGTTTAATACGAAAGTTTTTGATGCAACCAATCAAACTTTACTTAGTCATTGACACTTGTTGAACTGTTATTTGTTCCATCTATGATATAGCTTTTACCTCCTTAGCTTAAAATTAAGTTAATTATGATATTCCAAATTGTGATGAATCAATGTTCAAGTGATTGTTTGGATCAAAGCTACAAAAATGTGGTTTTTTAATAATTTGTGTTTTAGTAAAATATGAGTGTGAAGTTAAGTCTAAGCTATGGAACTTTTTAAATTTTTTATGATTATTTTTGTATATCTAATTTTTTAATTTTGTAATAATAGCATGTAAGTTTCTTTTATCAATCGTATAAAGGTTACCTTCTTTTCTCAAGTCATAAGACCCATCTTATGACAATTTTAAAAAACTCAATTATAATGAACAATGAAGACAATTTCCTCGTTTAATTATTCTTTTCTGTTTATTTTCTTCTCTTTTCTTTTTCCTCTTTTCAAAATTTCCTTAGCCCATCCCAAAAAGTAACAACTCAGTAAAGGAGGAACTTTGTTGTCAAAGTTATAGTGATTTCTTCCATGTATTATTGTAAAGAGAGAAATTGAAGAAAGGAGATAATTCATTTTGCTATGCTTTGTAATAGTTTTTCATTGATTGAAAGTTAATTAAATCAATCTTAGTTAAGAGTTTATATAGAGTAACTTAGCCGTGCCATTCAGCATAGTTAGTTACACCTTTAGGATTGCTGACTCAACACAATTAAGAGTTTCTTAGGACTTTTACTAGTCTATACTCTATTATCTTCTCTTTTCTCTTTAAAGGCATGATCATCTCTTGAGAGACAGTTGATTTGTCCACAATGTTTTTGAGATGAAGAAACCTGAGAGGAGAGAGGTTTAGTCAATACATCATCATACTATTCTATGGAAGGGATGTGAAGTATTTTTATACTTTTGTTGATCACTTTCTTGGCATGAGGGACATGATAATGAGAGAGAGCAACAGTGTTCAAGTTGTCACAACAAAATGGGAGTGATGAAGGGTACTTGGAGTTCTGCAATGCAATGAGAGTGATGAAGGATACTTGGAGTATCTTCAGGGTTGAAAATGCTAGGATAGAAAAGAGAATGAAAGTAGACTATGGTTTCAGTAAAAGTCCATGTTGCAAAGGGCCTTTTAGGTGTTTTGTTGAATGCAAAGATAATCTCAGACCTTATAATTGTGGCAAGGCCATTTTCGAAGGTGTGTAAGACGGACTACCGCACAGGGCCTCAAGTTTTTCTAGAATAAACTATAGGTAAATAAGGCCTCATGAAATATTTGTCGGGTTAAATTGTGATTAAGTAGGATCTCTATTTATTTTTTCATGGTTAAATTGTTACTAACCTATACAGAGTCTCTAAAAATTTGAGACGGCTCTGAATTGTATCTCTGAATTGTGGCATACTGCAGTGCTTATACTATGGACATATATAAAGTGGGAGAGTCATGCCTTGAGAGTTTCAAATTTGAGATCATTGGTGTAGGTAGTCCTTTTGCTTTTGACAAATTTTCTTTCGCCAGTAAATCTTTTGGATACTTGGCTTGAGAGAGGAAGAGTGATCAATCTGTTTGGTGACTATTAGAGACTTGGTATGAGACGTTGAATTGCCTGTGACAATTGTGTCATCAACATACACAAGCATCACAATGGTATATGTTGGTGTGATTGGTGTGAATAAGGAAGCATCACACTTGCTAGAAATAAAGCAAAGACCTTTTAGAGCAATGTTGAGCCTCTCAAACTAGACCCTTGGTGTTTGTTACAAGCCATAAATGGCTTGGTTGAGTTTGCACACCGACTGCTTTTCAAAGTGCTTAAAGTCTGGTGATTGATTCATGTATACCTCTTCCTCAAGAATGTGATGGAAGAAGGCATTATTGATATCAAGTTGAGTGATAAACCACCTTCTAGATATAACCAAGGTGAGGACAACCCTAACTGTAACTGAGTTGACTATAAGAGAGAAATTTTTGTGAAATCAAATCCACGTTGCTGATTGAATCCTTTTGCCACCGGTCTGACTTTATATTTGTTGAGAGTACCATCAGGATTTTGTTTAACCCTAAATACTCACTTGCATCCAATGGCTTGCCTATTAAGTAGAAGAGTGGTTACGGGCATGTGTGATTGTTGAGCAGAGCCTCATCTTCAGTGGTCATAGCAGCAAGCCACTGAGGACATTGAAGAGCAACTTTGTAAGAAGTAGGTTCCATTTTAATGAGTAAAAGAGTAGGATGAAGTCTAGCTTGCACAATACCACATTTTCTTTTTGTGTCCATTGCATGAGTACTGTGGGGGTAAAGGAAGCATAATGGCACTGGTTCAGAGGTAGACAAATGCTGAGTGGTTGATGAAGGGTCAAGTTCTTGTGAATTAGATGAAGTAATTGGAGTAGGTTGTTGAGCTGATGATGTGTGAGAAATGTGGAAACTGGATTCAGGTGAGTTCGAAGTAGATGATGTATTGGACATATGTGATTTAGAATAATCAGTTAGATGGTGAAGAATGAGATAATTGGGGTGTGGAGATTTGGGTTGTGGGTTTAATAGGAAATATGGAGGGTTTGGATGACAGGGCAGAACTGATAACAGGACCAGTATTAGGAGACAGAAATAGTTGTGAATAAGGGAACATGACCTCAATGAAGAGGACATCCTTTGAGATGTAAAGCCTACCATTGGTTGTAAGACATTTAAACTTTTATGGCTAGGTGAGTATCCATGGAGTGGAAATTGAACTTGTGAGATGAGTATGGCCTTAGATGGGGTAGTAGGCACAACCAAAAACTTTGAGAAACTTGTTGTAAAGTATTTACTAATAGAGAAAGAAGAAAGGAGACTTCATGTCTAATACACCAGCAGACATTTTGTTGATTAAATAAGCTGCAACTAAGCAAGCATAATCTAAAAATTTGAAAGGCAACCCTTCTTAGGCAAGAAGGGAAAAACTTGTTTCAACCACATGCCTATGCTTGCGCCAATTAAATTTTGGTGATGTGTATGAGGACAAACAAACCTGTGAGCTATGCCTCTTGTGTTAAATAGAGTGGTGAGAGCTTGAAACTCACCGCCACTACCTGGTTGCACTGCTTTCACCTTAGTACTAAATTGTTTGTCAAGAAGGAAATCTAAGTTGTTTGTCACATGATGTGTGGCTCTGAGTCAGAATACTATTGTTGATTGGAAATATTGAAGGAGTTTATCAAAATTTTATTGCAATAGAGCCGAACAAAATACTAAGTTGTTAGAAAATTATAGCACTTGATTTACATTTTCCAGAACAACAAGAGTTAAGGTAGAAAACAAAAATGTAAAATAAATAAGGTATAAGATATTGTTTACTATTACATTTGATGTTGTAATAAAGATCCAAACCTGAGAAAAGTTTCATATAGCTGGCAGTGCTAAGTATTGGTTAAACAACAAGTATAAAAATCATGCTAGGCCTTAAGATAGTGTAATGAAATGGTGCAGAGAACTAATCAAACTTGGAGGCCAGTGCTTTGTGTCTCTAACATATGAAAGATCTGTAAAGTGAGGATCAAGAAGAGTTGCAATTGTAAACTGGTTTTCAGCAAGCAATGCCGCATGCTTATCCGAGTATAACGCCGCTGCAAGAGCTGCATGTACTTCTGCCCCAGGAAAAAAAAACAGCATCAGAGAAAAGCGAGAATTTGATAATGAAAAGGCCAACATTCATACCTGGATAGCCCTTTAGTGATATTGAAACGTCTTCCATCTCGGCAATTGCTTCTTCTCTGTCACCAACTTCATATAGGGCCAGTGCTCTCCCTACCCTTGCATACTCTGAGAATGCCAAGTCTTTGTAGCTTTCAATCACCTGAAAAAACAAGTAGCATGAATACTTATACCAGACTACAAATAGAAGATAAACAAGAACTAAATGAAAGGATATTGGGTAACCTGAGAAAAGTAATCAAGAGCGCCATTGAAGTCACCGAGAGCTTGCAACTCTCTACCTTTTTCCAACAACTCAACACCCTTAGAAATTCTTTGTGAGATTAAAGCACTGGCATCTCTTTCAGAACGGGTTACTGGATCATACTCTGTGCTAATTACACTGTTATCTTCACCAAATGCAGGAAAAGGGAGGAAAAGGGAACTAGAGAGGGGAAGAGAGAAAAGGAACAAGCGTCTGCTTGGAAGTTGAGATATGGAAAAGGATGGTGGAGGTGATGCTTTGGTCTGTGGCAATGGAAGATGGGAAATGGGTGGTGCTGCTCTGCAGCATGCACCTGCCATAATTGTCAATTGGGACCAAACATTCAAGGAATGCTTTTTATTAAAATAATAGATAGATTTGTCACATGAGATATTTTTTGTTATCTACCTTATTAAATATCCAATGCTCAAAAATTCCATTTTGCATGCTAAGTCACATTTTCAATTAATTTTACTTTGAATTAGATTTTCCTTTTTATTTTTATTTAAGTTTAAAATGTATTTTATGATATATTTCTTTATTTTTTCTTCTATTACAATTTTATACTTATTAATTATTAATCACGCGAGTCTAAATAATAATTAGTGGAACTCATACATTATTATATACAACTAGATTAAGACCCGCGTAATGCGCGGTTGTACATTAATTTATTTTTTATATTAAATTTTTAATTGTAGTTAATATATTTTATTTTGATAAGTATGATTAATTAATTTATATTTATAATATTTTATTTTAAACTAAACATTCACGATAATCAAGTAAAGTTAACATAAATATGTTGAATTTTTAAAAAATAAATTCCTTCTATTTTCTATTTGCATATTATCAAATATATTTAATTTTTCTTATATGAATTTATGTAATGTTGTTGAGATATTTTATAAGAATTTTTTTAAGATATATAGATAAATAAATGAATTATGCAGAATTAAATAATTTGAAATATATATCATAATTATTAAAATGATTTAAGAGTATATATGTAAAAATATTATATATGAAATGATATTATACAAAGAACATAATTCTTAAATTTAATAATTACATTTAATAATATAAGTTTATGATATAAAATTTAATAATGAATGAGAGAGAATAGTTTGAAATTGTATAATTAAATGAAACTGACTTTTAAGTTTTTATTTAATTCATAATATATGTTTTTTTAAAAAGGCATGATATATATTTTATATACTTTGGAAGAAATTTAAATTAAAAAAATGAAAGTAAATATACAAATTTTTATAAATTAAAGTCTATTGTGATCATATTAAGGATATGTGATCATATTATGATATAAAAATGATTTTATATTTGTCATTTGGGATAAGTTTATGTAATTAGATATAATTCATGCTTTTATATATATATATATATATATATATATATATATATATATATATATATATATATATATATATATATATATATATATATATATATATATATATATATATATATAATTAATTTATTAGTAATGTTGATATTATCAAAGTTAAGATATTTATTATTGGTATTATTAAATTTTTAGCAATTTTTATATTTAATTATTTTTTATAAAATAATTTAAAAATAATTTTATCATCTTTCAATTAATTTTATCTCATACTAAAATGATTTAGTTGTCCGACTAATGTATTTTTTTAATCTAAAATACATTTGTTATTATAATTATTGAAGATAATACATATATTTGAGGAGATGTAAGTAGAATATTTTATGTTTTTCAATAGATAAATCTTTATATTAAAAATAGTCTATATTTTTTCTCTTAAATTTTTTATTAATTATTAATGTTTATAATGCAAACTTAAAATATTTATTATTGTCATTAATAAGTTTTTGTGAGAATTTAAGTATTTTTTATTATAATTTTTTTAGCCATCATATATTATATTTTATTTTTAGTGGTCTTGTCGATTTATATTTATGTTAGTTTTTTAATATAACAAAATAGTATTATTTTCTTTAATATATTAGGTGTCTACCTGTACGATGTACGATAAATTTTATTAAATTATTATTTATAATTATTATAAATTAAGAATATATTTTTTAATTGAATCAAATAATTTATTTAAAAAAAAAATGATGATGATTAGATAGTTATATACTAAGATATCAAAGTTACTAAAGATAAAAACATCAAATCCATTCTCATGATCCAATTACTTCAAACAAAAATCACATAAAATAATTGATAAGTTAAATAGATCACTTATAAATAATACATTTAACTTCAACTGAAAATAAGTGGATTAAAAAGGAGATAGTGTGTTGAAGTTAAAATAGAAGAGAAACAAAAACAAAACATCATAAATGATAATAAAAGATAATGATAAAAATTGTAGATTTTAATTAGATAATATATAACTTAAGAAAATAAAAGTAACTTCTTACAAAGTATCATAACATTGAGAGTTAGTTAGGTTTGTTAAGCATATATATATATATATATATATATATATATATATATATATATATATATATATATATATATATATATATATATATATATATATATATATATATATATATATATATATTGAGGTAAATATTCGATTGTGCCACCACTCTTTTTATAAGAATTATTGTATAATAGTCAACCAAATATATCAATTACTATGGTCGATCCAATCAACTCAGATACTCAGTTCTAGTTTAAAAATTAAGTATAATTTTTTTTATGTGTACACTTTTAAATAATTAAAAACGAACACCAAAAATAAATTATATGTTTAATACAAAAAGCACTAAAAAAACTTAATATTATTTAAACTATAAATAAATATCATTTCATACAATTTAAAGCTTATAAATATTTAAAAAGTCTTTTTCCGAACACTTTTTTTAAAAAATTCAAGAACTAAATATATTTTTGAAGCAAATTCATCAATTAAATATTCATAATATAGTGTGTCGAAAATATTATTTTTGAACGGTAGCCTCAAATTTATGCTTTTGATGTTGTATGTTTTTTAAAAATATTTTTTTATATAATAATAAAAAAGTTAGCCCCTTAAAAATTTTAATGCACATGTTAATGATTGAGCATGTGAATTATATTTGATTAGATTTTGTTTATATTAAAAATTAAAATATTAATAATAATATTATAATTTTAAAGCGTAAAAAAAAAAAATAATAAAGATTAAGAGTTTTTTAAGTCACCCTATCCCATAATTTAACTTTTCCAACATTATTTATTTTATAAAAAAATGTATTTCATGATATCAAGATTTATATTTAATAAAATATAATCAAAACTAAGAATAGTATAATTATTTGAAGCTAAGCTTGATCATGATAACTAAATTGGTATTTCTTGAAGTCAAATAAAAACACAATTAAAATATATATATTTTTAAATTAAAAAGATAATAGAATTGAGAATTAAAAAAAAAAAATTAAGAAAGTACACAATATAATCACTATTTATATGTAATTTCACTCACACAATTATTTCAATTATCTTTCTTTGACCAATTCTTCTTTTGCAACAAATTTATACCTAAAAAAACATAACCTAATTACCCGATAACCAAATATAATTGAGAATATAAAAAAATAAAAATCTAAAAATTAAGAAAGTATACAATATAATCACTATTCATATGTAATATCACTCACAATTATTTCAATTCTCTTTATTTCACCAATTTATCTTTTGCAACAAATTTATACCTAAAAAAATATAACCTAATCATCCGATAATCAAAAAATTAAGAATAAAAGAAAATAAAAACAAAAAAACAAAGACAAATTACAAAATATAAACAATAATGAGACAACATGATTGAAGAATACCTTAATTATGTGTTCATCCATTCACATGATGTTAATCCTTGAAAAACACAAAATGTATTAAATGATCGAAAATATTATATAAGTATAATTTAGTATGACCTGAAATTGTAAAAATTGTGAAAAGAAAAAAAATAATAAAGAGAAGGATGAAGGAGAACAAACCTCTAGATTATTATGAAACACAATAAGGAATACATAAAACACAAAATGAGTATAGAATGAAATCATTTTATAACTACTTAAAAAAGGTCTTTTTCTGAATATTTTTAAGCAAATTTATGAACTAAATATACTTTTGAAGCAAATTTATCAACTAAGTCTTCATATTAATAATGAGACTAGTAAAGCTTAATGAAGCTTGTAACTTAAAGCTTGCTTGGGATATGTTAACAAGTAAAGAAGATTGGGCAGCTATTCTCAAAGGCAGAGTTTTCAAATCGTATGGTACTATAAATTATCATATTTTTCCTTCCTTATAGACCACTGTCAAATCTGAGTTGTCCACTATTAAGATGCATTTCAGTTGGTCCTTAGGGAATGGAAAATCCATTTTGTTTTGGCAAGATGCGTGTTGTACGCCTTTTTTGTTGGAAACTTCCTTAACTTTTATTGAGGAAAATGATTTGTCTATTGATTCTAAGGTTTCAGATTTCATCGTTGATGACACTTGGTATTTCCCGGATAATTGGAATTCTCTTTTCCTTTTCATTAAACAAAGGTTAAATTTGAGTCTCTATACTTTTGTTGATCTGGAAGACTCTCTGGTTTAGCCTCATGATAGTGTCGGCAGTCTTTCTTTGAAAGAGGCTTACCATTTCAAAGCTCCTTCTATTCTGATTGCTTGGGCACAAGCGATATGGTGCAAAGATATTTCTCCTTCTAAGTCCATTTTGTCTGGAAATTAATGCTTGACAAGGTGTCGACAGAAGACAAGTTGATACATCGAGGTTGTAACATTATTTCCACATGCAGTTTTTGCAAAACGAATGTTGAATCTTTCAATCATTTGTTCTTTGATTTCCCTTTTTCCAAAAAAAATATGGTTCTGGTTCTATAAGAGCATTAATATGGTTAATCCGCCTATTTTATTGGACGATTGGTGGGCGGTTTGCTCCTCCAACAGATCTAAACAATGCTCCTTTCTCCTTAAAGTTGCTATCACTTACATTCTGTATAACTTGTGGGAATCCAGAAACCATGACAGATTTAGGGGTATCACCCCAGTGTCAGGCTCACTATTCACAAGATTAAATCTCAGTTGTTCATTACTTGTACAAACTTGAAAGCCACGACTTTCGGATCTATGAATGACTTCAAGTTATTGAAAATCTTTAATGTTAAGGCTCACCCTCCCAAAGCTCCGACTATCAAAGAAGTGCTTTGGCTTCCTCCGCTCGCCGGTTAGACGAAGTGTAATTGCGATGGTTTTTATCTTCATAATTCTCTTCTCGTGGGGTGTGAAGGTATTTCTCGGGATCACCAAGGT